GGTCATTAACATCTGTAATACTGCACACTCTCTCTATTTTTGTGACGGTAAGGATCATTAAGATATTGAATACGATGTTGAAAGCTCACAAACACTGTTGTGTTTTGGTGTCAATGTATAAATTAATAAATAATATAGGAGTAATGAATCATCACTGCCGTCTGAGCAAATCTATACATCGATTTTGATGCAAACACTTGACAGTTGCATAAAATTCAGCCGTTTTATTTGACGTCAAAACTTCTTATTTAAAATTCGACGCCATTCAGCAGAGCACATCAAATAGACTTGAATTTGCATGTCCCACCAAAATTGTCAGGAACGAGGGTGATGATTATGGCTTCAGCTCATGGCATTGGCATCTCGGCTCAGTAGCTTTAGCGCCTGTTCCCCCGGGTGCCAGATACTTCAGGGTTCAGGACATTCATATACATACATATCCATAAAAATAATTTAGAGAGTTAGAGTGTGTTATACAGAGGAAGAGGAAGAGAGAAAGAACATAGAGTGCACAGGGAAGGCCGACACAGATGGTTCACGGCTCTTTAGGGACTCGCGGTGGAGTCTGCCATGCCATAACAGTGGCGCATGGGGAATTGAGCAGTGGGACTTGCGTTTGAAGCTTGGGATCTTCCACGTGTCATCTGATTACCACTGACAGTTGAGTTCACCGTTTCATAACTATGTTCAGCTATTGCTCAGACACTCGTTGGCTTCTTGGAACCATCAATTATGCAAAATGCTTGCTGCATGTAGATGAGGCAAACTCATCTGGTTTTGCATATCTTCTCTTAAAATCTCAGTTGTTTTTCCTAGATATTTCCATCCATTGATTTCCTGAATTTTCCTTTCATGTCGACTTTAATGACATTATTTTCTCATGTGCTTCTAAACCGTTACATGTAACTATGATTTCAAATCCCAAGTATTTTTTCACCACTTGTGTTCAAAAGTGACATAACATGTTGTCAAAAGGCACAAGGCCTTTAGCGACAATCTAAATGAGCCAGTTTCTCAATTTGAAACCGAAGGTAAGTTATTGGTCCTCAACTGAGGGGTAAAAACAATGCTAAATGCTACTAATAAATGCTACCCAGCAGGAATCAAACAGGGATAAAAAAACAAAAAAACAAACAATGTTACAAGTTAATAAAAAGCAATGCTGAAAGCTTATAATAAAATTCTAACCAACAGGGGTAAAATAGGGATTAAAAACTATTCTAATTGCTAATAATAATAAAAACAATGTTAAATGCTAATAATAAATGCTAACTAACAGGAATGAAACAGGGATGAAAATAATGTTACAAGATAATAAAAGCAATGCTAAATGCTAACAATAAAATGCTAACCAGCAGACTAATGCTTAAAATGAGCAACAATTCTAAATGCTAATAATAAATGCTAACTAACAGGAATGAAACAGGGATGAAAATAATGTTACAAGATAATAAAAGCAATGCTAAATGCTAACAATAAAATGCTAACCAGCAGGGATAAAACAGGGATTCAAAACAATTCTAAATGCTAATAATAAAAACAATGTTAACTGCTAATAATAAACGATAACCAACAGGAATGAAACGGGTATAAAAAAAAATCTAATAAAAACTATGTTAAACGATAATAATATAAACAATGCTAAATTTTAATAATAAAAACAATGGTAAATGCTAGTAGCAAAATGTTAAGCAACCGGGAGGAAACAAATACAATTAATGTTAAAAGCTAATAATAAAAAATGCTAATGCCAAATGTTAATACTAAAATGTTAAAGAGCAGGGATAAAACAGGGATTAAAAAGCAACATTAAATGCTAATAATAATGCTAACCAGGACTATTAACTGGAAATATTCCTATACATAATTATATATTTTTAACAACCACTATGAGAGACAATTTAGGTCTGTCTAGACTATAATTTTAGTTTTTTATATTATTATTAGTGGTGTCAAACGATTAATCGTGATTAATCGCATCCAAAATAAAAGTTTTTGTTTACATAATATATGTATGTGTACTGTGTATATTTATTATGTATATATAAATACACACACATGCATGCATATATTTAAGAAAAATATGTTATCTTTATATATTAAATATATGTATATATAATATTAAATATAAGAATATAAATGTATATGCATGCAAATATTTCCAAAATATATGCTATATGTGAGTGTACCTATATATACATAATGAATATTCACAGTACACACACACATATATTATGTAAACAAACTTTTATTTTGGATGTGATTAATCACGATTAATCGTTTGACAGCACTAATTATTATTATTTTTTTTTTTTTTTTTTTTACTTAGAAAAAAATGAATTATTAAAACAATTTTACTGTAAAAAATTGAATTAGTAATGTTTTTCTTTAAAGTCACCCACAACAATATTAACATCTCTCAAACAGCAATACATTCGAATTGTGTTACTATTCTGTTGTCATATTTAAGTGATAAATATCTTCACATAAAGCTGGACAAAAACGTTGCACTATATAATGTACATTTGTATACAGTACAGTAACATACTGAATTCAGTGCATAGTTTTGAAGTATAAAGACTGAAATAATATTTTCTCACAAAACGTATCCCAATAATGTACCATTTTCCCAGCATGGTGCAAGACTGAGATGGTTTTCATTCTCTAGCGCTATTGAGTGACACTGTGGGATCATCATGGAGTTTTGATAAATGGCCACAAAAGCATTTCCACCTCGTGCTTTCCCCCAGCGTTCAAAAGCGAGCAAGGTCATAACCAAAGGTAGAAGATTAATTTGGTCTTACCTGATAAATTATGAGAATTAGCCTGTTGGGAGAAAAACAGTACTTGGTAAGCTGTTTCTGATTGGTCCAATAGAAGCAAAGCAGAGATTCTGATTGGTCCAAACAGTCATGAAATTTAATTTCAAGCTGGGTTTGAAGGTGGGTGTATTTTAGCATAGATCTGTGACTTTGGATATGCCATTTGTCCCATCTAAGAATGGCATATCTAATAATGTGGGAAAGCACTGCCACTGTCAGAAAAAAAAGCCTTGACGGTATCAGTTTTTGTAATTAATTTCCCAATATTTTTTTCTTTATGTGCCCTAGCTATTTGAAAAACCCAAAAGCAGCTGAAAGGTTGCAAAGAGCTGCATTTTTTTTCTGTCAAAGCCGCATAAACAACACCAAAAGTACTTTTCATCTCCCGAAATTTCATTTCCTTTTCAAAGAGCCGTGGCTTTCCTTTGACAGTGACGACATGCTAATCCTCTGGGCTCAAACCAGTCCTGCACTATTACTCTCTCTCTCTGCGGTGTGCGGCCCACCATCTCGTGTTCATTAGAGGAAATGTGGTCATTCTCAGCAGACGACTTCATTCCATTATATCTGACACGAGCTCATGCTGCAACAAGCAACAGGCCAAAGCAACAGAATTTCAGCTCATGGTGACATTCTGCAATGAATCTTGCAAGCACTGCACTCTGGGACATGAGCTCGCTTTTACACCCACCGGCTGAAGGAAGAGCTACTTTAAGGGTCAAAACTGAGATAACTCCAATAACTCTGGATTTATTCGAATTTACATACCCGGTTTGCAAATCTATAAATACCTGGAATAAATTAATTACTTTTTTTTTCTGGTAACATACCATAATAAATTCATTAATACTTAATGACTTCCGTTTATATTATTTATAATCATTTTTACTTTATAACACTTAATGGATCATTTGTTTATACACATTATTCTTATACACTCTTAAAAATAAACGTGCTTCAAAAGGTTCTTCAAGCGATGCCATAGAATAACCATTTTTGGTTCCACAAAGAACCATTCAGTCAAAGGTTCTTTAAAGAACCATCTCTTTCTTACCTTTTTGTAATCTGAAGAACCTTCTTTCACCACAAAGAACCTTTTGTGAAACAGAAAGGTTCTTCAGGTGTTAAATGTTCTTTATGGAACCATTTAGACAAAAAGGTTCTTCTATGGCATCGTGAAGCACCTTTATTTTTAAGAGTGTAGATTTGATTTTTGTATCATCCTCGGAATTTGTAGAGGCTTAAACTAATTAGTTATAAGTAATAAGTCAATTTCAACTGGTTATGGAAAAAAAACATTGTAAGCAATATAAACAATAAAAAACAATAAGCAATATAATGCAATATAAACATTATAAAACAATAAAACTGTAAACATATTTTATTAATAAATACTAGTTTTTGGTGTTTCTATATATATCTATATGTTATGTTAAAAAATATAACTAAAAAGTAGGGATGTACTGATGTATCAGCTGCCGATATTTATCGGCCGATTTTTGATTATTTTAAAGACATCGGCATATCGGAAATAGCATGAACAGGGCTGATACCAATGGTTTATAATGGTAATAATAAAGATAAACGCAGGAACAGAAAAGTTCAAATACCGATTCTGCTCTGAGTGAACTGATTGATTTTTTATTTATTTTTTTAAGCTCTGCTTTATGTAATTGAGCAATATCGGTATCGCCAATATTTTGTTTGGTAAAATCGGTATCGGCCAAAAAAATCCTATCGGTGTATCCCTCCTAAATGTATAATGATATGCTTTATTATAAACTATAATTATAAATAAACTGTCAATTTATAATAATAATTACATTCAGAAATTTGTATTTAAATTTTAATTGACCTCTGCTAATTATAAAACAGGTGCAAAAAGCCAGAAAACATGCATAATAATGTGAAATGTGAAAAGTCACATTATCTTATTTTGATAACTTACATTCGCTCATGTGATCCAAAATATCTCCAAAAAATTAAATAAATTAAGAATAATAATAAAAAAACTAATATCACATTCTTCACATTCTATGAATGTGAAGACACATTTCCTAACCACATCAGTCTCTCAGTGTTCACCATATTTACTACAAAGACATCTGAATTCATCATGAGCAAACGTACAGTATCAAGTTCCACCATTAACTCTGAATAAACACTTTTGTAACTTACTGTTGGGATCCACATTTTCACACAGTTCGGTTTTGGCCTCGCCGTTCGGCCGGTCGCTGGGTTTGTGTGACAGACGTGAGGACATGGTGGCCGCCGTCACCACGGCCTTGAAGCTGCGCTTGCGTTTCTGCACGTTGAGCTCCGGGTGGAAGATGATGACGTAGACCTTGGGCATGTAGAGCATTCCCAGAGCCACAGAAGCGCTCAGATTCATGGAAATGGTCAGCGTGGTGGTCTGGATGTAGAGCTTTGGGGGGAAAAAGGAGTAAAACTTTATTACGGCAAGGGGAAATTTAAAATAAATGAATAATAATAATAATAATAATAATAAAAAACGGTTTCATAAAGACCTGAAAAGGAGATATAAAACTGGATATTGAGACAAATTTCACTATTTGATTTGTTTTTGATTTACAAGCTTACAGTTCACTCAAATGTCGTTTTTGATTCAATTCTATATCAATTTATTTAGATATACAGGCAGTCAGGTACAGTACACATAAAAATTATTTGATGATATAGACAATCAGGTACGGTAGGCTACATTTAAGAAAATGATTCAATTCAGTTTGATATCAATTCATTTGTATAGAAAATCAGATACAGTAAATATATATAAAAATATCAACTACACTCTTAAAAATAAAGGTGCTTCAAAAGGTTATTCAAGTGATGCCATAGAAGAACCATTTTTGGTTCCACAAAGAACCATTCAGTCAAAGGTTCTTTAAAGAACCATCTCTTTCTTACCTTTTTGTAATCTGAAGAACCTTCTTTCGCCACAAAGAAACTTTTGTGAAACAGAAAGGTTCTTCAGGTGTTAAAGGTTCTTTATGGAACCATTTAGACAAAAAGGTTCTTCTATGGCATCGTGAAGCACCTTTATTTTTAAGAGTGTAATGCTGTAAAAACTATACAAAAACCCTATCAGTTGGAACATTACTATATTAAAGTAATTTATAAAAAACATTTAAATTCCAAAAGACAGTTTTAAAATAATGAAACATGACATAGCTACTTGTTGAAATATTCAAACATTGGATAGGCCTATCATATCTTGTTTTCATGCCGGATTTATTCAAACATGAAAAAGGTTAAATAAAAATAAAATTAATTTTTAATGTAGTGCACATACAGTATCTAGCAAAATGCTCCTGTGTAGAGTTATTTTTTCTAGCTAGTTTATGGTCACTGAATGGCTTTTCTCAGGTAAATGTGACGTTACGTGACATTGTTTACAAGCCGTTTCATTGACGTCTTTACACGGTGGAAACATTGATTGATCGATTACATGAGACATGATACTTTTCGGTAAGTTTTACTTTTTCTTTCAACAAACCTTCAGACGTTCATTTATGAATATAAGAGCGGTGTTGCTAAGTCTACTTTAACATTGTTACTGTGTTTTTTTTTTTTTCACGTCTGCGGATTGAAGCGACCCCAATAACATGATATTTAGCCCATGCAATGCAAATTTTACCAGGGAACCCTGCCAAAAAACGTGTGTTTTACCCCCCGGGACGCGATTTTTAATGGGGGAAATGCAATTGGGCTAGTTTTGAGTAGCAATTGGGCGGGTTTTGATGTGAAAACCTGGCAACCCTGTATAAGAGGACGAGGTGATTGATTAATGTTGAACTGATGCGGCTACATCGGTCTGTCACGCCTCATAAAAGAGCGCCAAAACGGTATTTATTGCTTGAATTTCATAATAAAATCAACAGAATTTAAAAGATGAAGTTTTGTTCACGCATCAACTGTAAACAGCATAGATCGATTCTTAGGATTTAAAGCCTAGTTCACCCAAATATGTAAAACTTTTCACATCATTATAGCATGCTTTAACACCAAATATAATACACGCTAATAATTTAATGTTACCTCATTGCGTGTTTACGCAAACTAATTTGTGATTGGACCAGTTCATTGAAATGAGCTGTCCGAAAGAACCATTTCATAGAAATGCATCCAATTTCTCTGTTGGAGGCTATGAATTACAGGTAATAATGTTTAGTTTCTTGCACAGACCTAGCGTTTCAGTTCAGAAGACCTAAACATGTCTTCAGGAGTCACGAGTATTAATTTTGTGTTCCTTGATATGCTTTATTTCTTCTCAAAAAGGGGCACCCAATGTCTTGCATTTCTACTGAAGAAAAAAAAAGTCACCTGCATCTTGGATAGCCTGAGGGTGAGTAAATTTGGGTGTACTATCCTTTTAAGAATCGATATCAGAGTATCAATTAAAATCAAGAAATAATTTTTTAACCTAGCTCTAGTTGGTTGTTCATGAATTATTCTGTGAACTCCAGGATGGGATTCGAGACGAAATGAAAAATCAAATCAAATCCGAACAGGTCAATTCCAAAGGCACTCAATATTGACGTCCTGGTGGGAGAATTCAAAGCCAAATGGATGATAATCGTTCTTAAAAACTCGAGCTGCTGTCATTGCCTGAGAGTACAGCTCTTGCATGGACATACTTTTCTTGTATGAAAAAAGGAGCTTGTCAAAGTATCATAATGAAGGCTTTCATGCCGTGGCTGTATCACATTAGTACCACGGCAAAGATTAATTTCATGTGGCTGTTAACCACACTCTGGCAAGTATGTAATTACCGATATCTTCAATGTGTTTAATCTTTAATGTACTGCGAGTTCAAAGCCTGTTAGGAAGGTCACGGGTGAGTTTCGATGAAGGCGACGGCCCCCGTTCATGAAACGCCAGTGGAACGAATTGTGAAAATCTTTCAGAAACCACAAATTGTCACTGAAATGTGTTCTGCTCGTGTTTCATGTATGATGCACAATGTTTCTACTGCCTGTACAAACAGATTGACCTGCCAATAAAACAACTAGTCCAGTAAACCTTAAGGTCTGGACCAATTTGTCGCTTATTCAGGCCAAGATCTGCCTTCTCAGACAGCAAGAGACTTTCTGAGGGGTTTCTGCGACTATTGTTACTTTTGGTCCCTGAATTTTTGTGATGAAAATGATAATGGAAGAATTAAATTAAATGTTTATGACTTTTTTTTTTCTTGTTAAATTCTAATTTCAGAGCTAGCATTAATGCAACCTGAATAGACAGAAATCAATTTTCACACTTTTTGAATCATTTCACAAAATTACAGATACTCTGGAAATGACTTAATATTAACTTTAGACAGAACCAAGGACAGGGATATCCTGGACGAAAACCTTCTCCAGAGTGCTCAGGCTCTCAGACTGGGCCGAAGGTTTACCTTCTAACAAGACAATGACCCCAAGCACACAGCTAAAATAACAAAGTGGCTTCACAACAACTCTGTGACTGTTCTTGAATGGCCCAGCCAGAGCCCTGACTTAAACCCAATTGAGCATCTCTGGAGAGACCTAAAAATGGCTGTCCACCAACGTTTACCATCCAACCTGACAGAACTGGAGAGGATCTGCAAGGAGGAATGGCAGAGGATCCCCAAATCCAGGTGTGAAAAACTTGTTGCATCTTTCCCAAAAAGACTCATGGCTGTATTAGATCAAAAGGGTGCTTCTACTAAATACTGAGCAAAGGGTCTGAATACTTAGGACCATGTGATATTTCAGTTTTTCTTTTTTAATAAATCTGCAAAAATGTCAACAATTCTGTGTTTTTCTGTCAATATGGGGTGCTGTGTGTACATTGAGGAAAAAAAATTAACTTAAATGATTTTAGCAAATGGCTGCAATATAACAAAGAGTGAAAAATTTAAGGGGGTCTGAATACTTTCTGTACCCACTGTATATCAAAGTGTAAATCTTTTAAATTAATGAATTAATAAATGATTTATGTTCATGGTTTTAATAATTCATATTTTTTTAATAATTCATATTTTATAATATATTTTCATTTTTCAAGATTTAACATTTTTACAAAAAAGCCAAGTAAAATAAATATGCAAAAGTAAATAACAAAGACAAAAAAAAGATCTAAAGACAATTAATGCAAGTCCATATAACTAAAGAAAAACAATAAATAAAACTGCACCCTTGGGACATAAAAGTTCTCACAGTTTGTTTTGTTTCACGCAACTATTTGGGCTTGTTTTATCTGAAATCGATCATACCACAAAAATAGACCACTGAAAAAACACAGAAAATGTGTGTAGAATCTGATCAGCATTGCATGGCCCATATTTGACTTGTACCTCTTCCATTTTTAGCACATTATGAGAGTAACTCGAACAGCCGGATAACTGAATTCCCGCAGGCTCTCGAATCACACAACCTTAAAAAATTCTGAAGAAAAAAGTGTGAAAACTTCCAGACTTTCCGTACCCACTGTATATATATATATATATATATATATATATAGGGCTGGGGAGTAACGAAATACATGTAACAGCGTTATGTATTTAAAATACAAAATATGAGTAATTTTATTTCGTTATAATTACATTTTAAATAGCTGGTAATCAAATTACAGTTATATCCGAAAAGTATTTTAGATTACCAAAGTGATTACTTTGAATTTTAATGTAATTTCTTAATTTAATATTTAAGTAAACAGTTTGGGGATTTTAACCAATAAGGCACCTGATTCTCCGTTGAAAAAAAAAAACAGCGTGCAGCAGCCTGTTCATTTAGCAACTCGTACAGAGTGTATACGCTCATCATCACGACACAAAAATGGACGACACAACAGAAAGCCATTCGCATAATGCACTTCTCTCGTGGAAATACAAAGACTATTTTACTTATAAATCTGAAAAAGGACATAACATCTCAGCGCAATGCAATGCCTACCTTACCTGCAACAAAATTTCTATCAGCATCGAAGAATTCAACGTTGAATCTGAATCTTGAGGGAAGTTGTTCTTGATCTTTGAAAAATTTTAATCAGTAACTTGTTTTTCTATTTTCTCATATTTTGAGTGTTGAATTGATATCTTTACGTTTAATATTTCTAAGAATTTAATTGAAAAATGACAAAGAATTCACACTTTGCATTCATTTAACAGATCCATACGAATCATGCATGAAATAAAAGTTTAGAAAGCCAAACGATAGCTTTGTGTGCTTTACAGATGAACTTGAAGTCTTTATTCATTCGAAATGTTCAAGAATAGATTATCTTTGGCGCAGTAATGCGAGTTCATGATCCGATTCGTGAACAGATGATTTGTTTGATTCAATCTTTTAAATTAATCATTTATTTTCATATATTTATGGTTCACATTAAACTGGATAGATCTGAGGTGTGTTTTCCAAAAGCATCGTTAGTGAACCGTGTTTG